ACTTCCTAAACCCCCGAGGTTTCACGTTGTAGGCCTAAACCAGGAACCACCAACCCTAAGCCCTAAACCCCGAAACCCCGAAAGCCCTAAACCCCTAAACCCCTAAACCCCAAACCCCTAAACCCCTAAACCTAAACCCTCAAACCCCCAAACCCCTAAACCCTAAACCCTTGTAAGACATGGTTTGGAGCTTCGATGGGCTGGGTGTCCGGAGCGTGTGGCACCCTCCCAAAGGCCATGTCCTACTTGGAGGATCAAGGGATATACATAGATGGTTTAGGGTTTGGGATATATATATATATATAGATATATGTATGTATGTATGTATGTATGTATGTATGTATGTATGTATGTATGTATGTATGTACAACGTGTACATATATACATATAAACACACACCTATCTATTTGTCTGTCAGTTTGTTTGCCTGCCTGCCTGCCTGCCTGCCTGTCTGTCTGTCTGTGTGCCCGCCGGTCTGTCTGTATGTACATATATATATATATATATGCTATATGTATAACAGCGAGATAGAGAGAGAGAGAGAGAGAGAGACGAATGCATCACTGTAATTGGGCCTAGGGCTAGCGGTATTTCTAACCCTGCGTATCCACCATTTGCTGCTCTGCGCAGCCCTAAACCCTAAACCCTAAACCCTAACCAAGGTGTGGCACCTGCAAAGCTGCGAAATACTGCAGCTACGAGTTCCCTGGCTGCAAATGGGAGTTTCCGAACTTAGGGGACCCTGATATAGTACCTTAAATAGTAGGATCCTTATTATAAGGGCCCCAAAAGAAGGTACCCCTAATTTTCGGAAACTCCCAAATCGATCACTGGCTTAAGGCTTACCACGGTTTTGGGGTTTCGGGTTTAGGGTTCAGAGGACTTTAGGCTCTTTTCAAGGGTTTGTGAGGTTTTCGGGCTGGGATCTAGTGTGGTTTCGGGGTACCGGGAGCTGAAAAACGGTGGGGTAGACAACAGGAAAACCTTGCGAGAGTGTAAGAGACCTCGGCAAGATCGCGACGAGGGGGCCTGAATCTTGGCCCTCCGTTCAGCTTCGCTAGAACGAGATAACGTCACCGCCAACAAGATCATTCCAAGCAACACCCGAAACCCTGAGTCCTAAACCCTCAAAGCCCTGGGCCTTCTGCCTTGAACCCTAACCTATGTAAACGGTTTAGGGTTTAGGGTTTAGGGTTTAGGGTTTAGGGTTTAGAGTCCTGCAACCCTTCCAGGTGCCAGAAGAGCCACTGGAAAGAGCACAAGAAGAAGTGCCGAAAGCGAGTGACAGCTGCATGTCCTCACAAGTTCGGGTTTAGGGCCTTGGGGTTAGGGTTTAGGGTTTCAAGGTCGGGGTTCAGGGACGAGCACTTATGAATTCGGGAGAATATCCGAGGGTTCAAGGTTAGCAGCAATCAAAGCTTAGGGGCTGCAGATGGAGTTTTAGCACGGTGTGTAGCACTGAGGATTCAGAGTTTTAGCCTTCAGGGTTGTACCCTAAACCCTAAACCCTAAACCCTAAACCCTAAACCCTAAAGGCTTCGGAGCAAGGGCTGCCTCTCGCCTGCTGTTTTTTTTTGGCAATGCTGCGGCGAAAAACATAGGTTTGGGGTGTGATGCTTTCGTGCGGGAGGGTCTGTAATGGATTCTGGTGTTTCAGTATTCAGGGCATGCCCAGCGACAGTTTCCTGCTCAGAATTACTACTCGTGGTAGACTTCCGTATTTCAGAGTGGTCCGCACTTGTTTTCTGAGCCCTGAACCCTACTCTCAAAGCCCTACCGCAGGCTGCATAGGCCTTTGTGCTCAATCTCCGGGCCACTGGGGATCCGAGCTTCAGGGTTTAGGGTTTAGGGTTTAGGGTTTAGGGTTTCAGCTTCACAACTGAGCATGGCTTTTCCACCCCTTGAAAGCTGCTGTTTCTGGGGGGGTTCTAGCTGTGTTGTACAGGGAATAGCAATTTAGAACGCAGAATATTTCAGAAGATTGTAGTAGTCACAGCATCAAACCACAGCAACCATAGTGATTGCCATGGTAATGAGATTCTCACCCTAAACCCGAAACCCTACAAACCCCAAACCGTCTATCAAAATGCTTCCACAAGCCAGAGTCCGGGCACAGCCCGAGCCGCGACCTGCTTTGGTCTCCTGGACAGGGAGACATGACCGTGAACGATCAGGGTTTAGGATTTAGGGTTTAGGGTTGAGGGTTTAGGGTTCAGGGTTTAGGGTTTAGGGCTTAGGGTTTAGGGGATTCGGGTTTAGTAATTTAGGGTTTAGGGTTTAGGGTTCAGGGATTACCTGTAGTCTCCGTTGTAGTTCCTTTCTTTGGTTTAACCAAATATATGGCAAGGAGTTTATAAGATATCCCCAAAAAGGGACTACAATGGAGACTATAGGTACTATAGGGGCCTGAAGAATTGCCTATCATATGTTGAGGGTTCCTTGTTATACTTATGGTCCTCTAACCCAAACCTCTACATCAAGCTTGGCTTTATGGGCAACTGCCACGTTGTGCTCAGGCCCAGATCACTAAATTTGAGTCTTGGTGTTCATTATCCGCTCATGGAGCAAGCAGTTCACAAAGGTCTTCGTCCTTGAGCCCTAAACCCTAAACCCTAAACCCTAAACCCTAAACCCTTTCGGGTGCTATCAGTGCCCTGTTTACAGTGTATGCTCCAATAGGGGCGAGCCTTGCTGGGAGAAAGATGGGCTACTACACTTAAAAAAAAACCCTAAACCCATGTTCCACCTTTCGCCCCGGCTCTCGAGCCCGTTCGGCACCGGAATAGTACTTGAATACGGCCCTAAAACTTAGTTCCCCAATACCCAATCAATAAACTTTTTGGGTTCTTATACTGTAGTAGTAATCTGAAAGTTTAACCTTTGATTTCCCTGGCTTATTGGTGAAATAAGAAAACTTCAAGCACGAGGCCAACATCTGCGTGCTGTCAGATTTTGCCTGCGGCTCGGCAGTACACAGACAGAGGCTGTGGGCTTACAGGTTCGGTTTCCTTGCTCAATGATGTTTTGGGGGTTAGGGTCTGTGGCAAGTGCAGAGCCACGTCCTGGAAAACCACGACGAGAGTGTTCCAGCCGTAGTACTTAACATTACGACAAATCAATATAGGAGCCTTCATAATTAGAATAGTGTTCTGGGTGCCCTTTGTACTATAATCATTAATAAGGAACCCCCGAAAATAGTATAGTTAATTACTAAGGCCCCTATTTTACAAAGCCACGGCCTGAAGCTGTTCCACTCATGTCGAAACCTAGATCAGGACCCCATGGGTGGATCCAACATCGCTGGCTGCAGCGAGCGATGGCAGCTCTGCTTGCATGATGGAAAACCAACTACATGGGTAGTTTTCTAAATTAGGGTCCATTTTTGGGCCAATATAGTACGGCACCCTTATAAAAAGGGACCCCCAAAAGGGACCCTAATTTAGAGAACTACCCACATAGAGCCAGGTCTTTGGTGCTTCTGCTCTCTTGAAAGACTTCTTCTGCGGTTTGCATGCTGACATGTGGCTACATGTCATCCAGCATGGAAAAAACAGCAAACACAATGCGAAACTGAGAGCTCTGCGTTCCTGCATGCCTGTGGATGGGGCGAAAACACAACTCGAAATCCCCCTCGCCCTCCGCTCATTGAGGACACCTTTGCTGATGAGCCCATAGACTTTACTGTGACGCGTTTGCCCTTTTTCCTGCGACCAGAGACTCTCGGACCGATCGTGACATGTGCGGATTTCGGTTCCGGATTTTGCAGCTGGGGCTGGCTCAGGCATTGGGGCTTGCTGCTGTGCGGTCGTAGTGATCGCAGTTGTCGTAGCCGCAGTCCGGGTGATAGTAGTGCTGGTGCTGGGTGCTGGTGCTGGTGCTGTTGGTTGCGGTGGAGGCGGCGGTGGTGGCGAATGTGGCGGTGGCGGCGGTCGTAGTTGTCGTCGTCGCCGTCGTCATAGTAGTCGTAGTAGTACCAGTAGTCGTAGTAGCTTACTAGTTTAGTAGTAGTAGTAGTAGTAGTAGTAGTAGTAGTAGTAGTGGTAGTGGTAGTGGTAGTAGGAGTAGGAGTAGTAGTAGTAGTAGTAGTAGCAGCAGTAGTAGTAGTAGCAGGAGGAGTAGCAGCAGCAGCAACAGGAGAAAGTATTAGTAGTAGCAGTAGTAGTCGTCGTCATCGTCGTAGTTGCAGTAGCAGCAGCAGTAGCAGCAGTAGCAGTAGCAGTACCTTCGACAAACTATCGTTAAAGTCAGGATGTTCCGTTGAAGGGTTCCGGTTCACTTAGGTTTATCATTTCGAGCTTGTTCAAGCGCTAAGCAGGGAACCATGGGCCTACTACAGTTCTTTGAACCCTCAACCCTGCACCCTCGTGCCCCCTAAGCCCCGGACTTAACCACCAACCACAAGCTCCTGCTAGGAACCCGACTGCCCAAGCTTTCCGGTGCCAACTCAAAGTATTTGTTATACCCATCCGTTCAGGCTTCCTGGCATCAACAAGACCATACCCCCGGGTGCGGAAGACAACTCTCCTGGCGTACGACTTACCGAGGGGCCTCTTGGCCTACAGGCGTTTTGAACTTCAAGGGTAATTTATCTATAGTCTCCATTGTAGGATACCTTATAAAATCCTTACTATATACTTGGTTAAACCAAAAAACGGAAATACAATCGAGACTATAGGCAGAACATAGGGTTCAAAGTCTTTCTGCAGGTTCCTGCCTCTTTTTTACCGGAGCATGAGTTTCAGGGGGGTTTAGGGTTTAGCGTTTAGGGTTCAGGGTTTAGGGTTTAGGGTTGAGTTCCAGGGATATGAAACGATGGCTCTCGGATTCGATGCCCTCCCTCCCAGGTTGGCATCCTAAACCCAAGGTTCGACTTCCCAAAGGCATTCCGAGCGGCCTGTGGCGAGCTGTCTATCTTCTGTACCCGCTTTCAAACTGTTCCGGCCTCTCCGAGTTTGAACGGAGGTGATCATCACTGACATTAGATAGTTGCAAATCTTGAACATCCTTGCGCTGTTGGGAGGAAGAAGAAGATGGCGATGATGATGATGACGACGATGACGATGACGATGACGATGACGATGACGATGACGATGACGATGACGATGACGATGACGATGACGATGACGATGAGGATGAGGATGAGGA